CAGTCAACATACCTGTTTGTTTGCAAATATAAGCAGCACAGCATCTCGCAGTTCATCTTCTGCTAACATTCTCATGAGTTCTTCCCGCGCCTCCCCAATACGCTCCCTGTCGTTGCTGTCAACTACGAAGATCAAGCCCTGCAAGTAATTTTGAATACCATTAGGATGTACACTAAAGGAACTAGTTCACACGATGCAATTAACAAATCCTTGTCAGAAGTAACAGGTTCTCTTAAAACATTCTGGATATTTCACAAAGTAACTGTAAATGTAACCAAACCCATTTTACTCTAAATTCATAAGTAAAAAAGGAATATATAAGAGCAAGCAGTTCAAATTTGACCTGGAATTTTCACTTCATCAACTGTTTCATTGACCATGAACCAATCCCAAAATTCCGTGTTCTGGGATGGATCAACTTTGTACACGCAGAGAGAAATTACTAAAAGACCACCTAAAATGAAACAAGTATGATTTACTGACACACTAAAATCAAAATTTTAACCATCCTCATGCTGAATTCATTAAATAAATATGAAGTCTCAACTGTAAACTTTTACAATTTGGTACCATGTCTGGGTTGCTGACCTGTTCACAACCACATTCTTACTACCTTGTTTAGTTTCTTCTAAGCCAACTTTCTGAGGTAGAAGTCTGAACACATGAACACATTCAGTATCAAGACCAGTCTAGAAGACAGATCAAAAACAGTTTTTCAACAACTGCAACAGGATGTTGACTGCCAAGTATAAGCACGATAAAATACTATAACCTTTACTGCGAGGGAATTGCGGAATTGCAAACTTAAATCCCTATATGAGACTTTAGCTTCCGCGTCTAACAGTTTAGTGGCATGCTACCGAGACACATGACCAGCTAGACTGAGCCGATAAAAGTTCGACGGAATACGGCACTCGCCACATTTGTTACTAGAAATATTGTCATGCAACACCTCTATGCCAAACACTCTCAAACCTTGTACTGGAAGAACACTACACTCCTGAAACACACAATTTTACATGATCTTTCTATAGACACTGAGAGTAATATCCAAATATGTATTATCGAAAATTGTATATAACTGTATGAATGTCCATTACACTTATAAAATTATGTTACTAACTTGTGTGTTCTGGAAGTAATGTCGCCAGAGCGGTCGAATTTTATCCTGACCGCCCACGTCCCACACCGTAAAACTGATGTTCTTGTACTCCACTGTTTCAACATTAAACCCTACAACACAACATGCAACTACATGTAACTCTTCCAAACAATAAATTTCCTCATTACACAACTTCATGACATTATACACATTTCAAACTTATTCATTGAAACCTTTTTATTTCAGCATCTTGAGTGATGTCATCAATACTGAATACATAGTTGTTTCACATTAAACATATACATTAAATAATTTATTATGATTCCCAGATTTTCATATTTTAATACATATGTCATGCATCCACTTACCAATAGTTGGGATTGTAGTAACTATTTCACCTAACTTCAGTTTATATAAAATTGTAGTCTTTCCTGCTGCATCTAAACCCACCATCAATATCCTCATCTCTTTCTTGCCAAATAGGCCCTTGAAGAGATTTGCAAACACATTCCCCATGTTGGCAGTTTATTATATAATAGAATACCTAGAAAGACCGAAATGAATGGTTAAATATTAAGAAGAAAAACTCAATTGTATTGAATATAAGGTCAACAATGATCACGCTCCCTTAAATTGTACACTGTACATAAACTTCTGCATCTACAGGCATACGGTTAAACCCTATTGATTCAGCACTGGCATTGTCTGGAACAGAATCAACTGCCGGTTGACGTTCGTTCTTTGAATATAATAAAGCTTCTTCATACGCCAAACCAGGAAGTAATTCAGAATAATCTTTTCTCGTCAGCTGTAATAAAATCCAATTAAAAGTTCAATAAAACGTTCCCTTTAAACTAAAAATAATGGCAAGCCTTTCCGTTTGTCACCTTGGATCTCCTCCCAACGTAACGGAATGAGTCAAATCTAGGGCCTAAAACTCTAGAACATATTTCAATAAATCATGTAATAATCACTGACACTTATACACCATATATGCCTACTGGAACTTACGTTTCAAGATTAAAAAGGTAGATTTCTTCACAAAACACTAACACATTAACTACGTCCTCAGACTTAATACTACAAGTCAAAATGGCTGACGAGGAAGAGGATTCGTGCTTCATGCCACGTATAGGGGTCCAACAATTGATGCAATTGGTAGAGTAATCGACACGTGATCACGGCACTTCGAAATGGTTACGGCGTCAGTCATGTAAATCACATTGTGTTGTAATAATTAATGACATTAACTTAATAAGCAGTCGCATAGTGCAACTTTAAAACATTCTTCAAGTATATCTATACTGTAAAAATAGTTACTTTTGTCCGCTTTAAAGAGATTGTCATACGTATTTCACGACCAAAAAGATTTTCAATGTATTATGACAGGGCTACTTTAATGCCATCTGCTCGGCTTTGTACGAAACTCGTCACGCACCAACGTACCCTACACTGAGCGGGAATTTGAAGTTGATTTCAAACGTGTAGTGAAATCGTAAAGTTGAAGGTAAAGAGTGATTGATTGCCCTCCCACCTGCACTCATATTCTCACAAAATTCATGAAATTCATACTGTGTAGATTAAACTAAAGAACTGCCAGTAATAATTTCAACACAGCAACGCATCCGGACGTATCAGCTACCTCAATGTTCCTACGATGACCATACCACAGAGGAAATACCCTATGCACAACACAATAAATATGAAGTTTTGTATTTGTATCCTGTGAAAATGCCATAACCAATACTTGTTAAAAGTACTGAAGGTATTGTGTTCCTTAATTTGCATTTTTCATCAGATGGTTCATATGTAAAATGAATGGAAAAGAGAAAAATGTACACAGAATTTGTTTGGGAAGCCCAAAGGGTAGACACAAATTGGAAGGCAAAAATGGCAATGAGGTGATAACATTAAAATGGATCTTAAACAGAATATGAGTGTGTACATTGCATTCATCTGCAATACCAAGCTCTTCTGAACATGGTAACGAATCTTCGAGTTGAAAAAGTTAGGGAATTTCTTAATAAGCTGAACAAAGATTAGCTTCTCAAATGGTTAACTGTTTTAAATGTTAAAAAATTGACAGTGGAACCACGGTCCCGGAGAATCTGACGTAAATACGTCTCTGTAATGTAACGAAATGTAATAATTCTTATATAAGATAAGTACTTGTGATATTCTAAAACGTTTTTACCAGCACAAAATTACCTAGTCGACGACGCACTTCTTCTACAAGCGATTCACAGCTCAGCTCTCCGCAATAACGAAAGCGGATTGTTGACGGCAGTAATGTAACACAACAATGCAGAGTAAACAGATGATGCAACAATTAGTTTCTTAGGTAACTAAAGGTGAAAGTAGCCCTGTCTTGTGCTAGGATTACAAAGGTATGATGAAAACAGACATTAGTTGTAATATTCATAAATTTGTATTTAGCATTCAATAATAAATAAGTAATATAATGGAATATTTAATTACAACTGCAATAGTAAAAATATCATCTTACTCCCCAGTGTATGTTTCACAAAAGCTCTAGCAAACATTTCTACATTGACTATTTCTCTACGGTTTCATCACATTCATACAATTATATACAAGATTTCATCATAGAAAATACATAAGACTTCAGTTTGTCTACCTAATAGGAGACCAATATCAGATACATCACTTCTATGACAGATACTTGCAGGAAAACATATTTATTCATTCATTATACAAAAGGTAAGGTTTTGGTAATGTCTCTTATCCAGAAAATTGCAAGCTACATGCAATAAAAGGAAGTATTTTTTATATTTCTTGATATAATACAGGCTTTTCTAAATTAGTCGCAGTATCTGTCACAAGATTACAATTTGTTACTATTTTGGGGCATCGCTGACATATTCTCTTACACACTCAACACAGAAACAATACATAAAAAGGAAATAAACAGAATTGCAACTCAACCACTGCCCTCCTTTCCAGGATTAATTTGCATTAAAAAATTTATCATTCCATGTAAATGAGGTTAGGTGTATTTTATGTTCTAATAATGCTTTCTTTTTTGTTGTGATGTGATGAGGCTACGTCTCTGTGGAATTTATCCATTAACAGGCCAGTACAAGAAGCAACTTATTACTTTGTTTGACTGAAATGTGGGCTTCATCCTTGCCAGCTTTCCTGATCTGTAAGCCACAATGATGAGGAAGTGATATAATAAACCCCTGTAATATTTACGCATGAATTGGCATTCTGAAAGAACACCTTTGGTACGTGGTACAAATTAGTAGTTGCTGAAAAGAACCAAGTATTCCAACATTCATCCAAGTTTTCACCAACACTTGCAGACCTTACTTCGGAATAGTTCTGTCTACTGTACTCAGTAGTACTAGCAGTTCCTAGGTGATTTTTAGTAGGAACTTGTAATGAATTTCAGGGTTTACAATAACATACTTGAAGATTTCTGTTCTCTAGGTTGTTGCGCTGTGTAGTCTGGTCGATGCTAACCAACGTTTCAGAGGTCATACTGCCTCCGTCATCAGGGTGATGACGGAGGCAATATGACGTCTGAAATGTTGGTAAACATCTACCAGACTACACAGAGCATCAACCCAGAAGACAGAAAGCTTCATACTAAGAATCACCCTGATGACGGAGGCAATATGACCTCTGAAACGTTGGTAAACATCTACCAGACTACACAGCGCAACAACCCAGAAGACAGAAATCTTCATACTCACCGCTGTCAAAACCTCAAATCTTACACAGTAACATACTTATTAACACAAGGGCGAAGACACATTCTTCAAATTATAGTTTAATTTCAAAAGTTAAAATAATATGGTCTTTAACATCACATTAATAACCCGATTTATAATGCATACCATAATTTTCTAAATTTTCCAAAAAGTGGCTGATGGATTTTATAATATTCGCAATCAAGATCTATAAGAACTAAATATATAGTTAAGTTAAATTCTTTATGCCTATTAATGATCTGTTGTAAGGTAAAAGCTGCGTCTCTGTGTAACCTTTACGGAAACTAAACTGTTCTTCTATTACAATATATTTACACGCTGCATAATACTTCTATACATACTTCCAAAATTATCACATCCATTTTTTGATATTTAAAAGATAAAGTCAATTGAACCAATCAATAAAGAGAAAAAAGCATTTCAAAAACATTCATCTTGAAATATCCTTTGTATCCAGAGAACAACTATAGATTACGTAAGACAATCTGATTTGAAGGTGTGGGGAATGTGTCCAAAACATTTTCAGCATTTCCTGTAACAAGGCTTTCACTCTACTATATTACCGTAGTCCGACTACTACTGCAGCAGAGTGAATGGGAAAACTGGCAAGCAAAGCAATTATCACACAAAGGCCACGATGTAGCACAGCTGCAAAATAGCTTTTCTATTATTATGAACACACAGGGATAATGAATCACGTAAGCGATTAAAATAAGTAAGGCACACACTGCCTTTTAAATAAACTTTGTACAATGCTGTTACTGAAAGCAATAATTATCTTCAGCATTATTAAATAAAATAATCCTTTACTTTAAGGAAAAAAGAACTTCTGAAGAATAGTTGATAAAACCAACCATTTATAAAAAAACACTGAACAAGAATAAAAAGTTTATGAAGAAATGGAATTATCAATAAATCTACATAAGCAATGTAATTTTTCATTCAAATGTTCAATTATGTTATCTATTGCAGGCAACAGGGCTAAGAAATTTTAAACAGTTTATGAATTTGAACAGCAGAATTTGTACGTACATGTATGTAAAATGGACAGCGTACAAACAAATCCTGAAAATCACACACTCGTGTTTTAAAGCAAGCTATTACATCATCAATAGCATTCTTTCAAATTTGAGCAGTATCAGGAAGCAATCTTATAAATATATGACAGCATGGTTCAAGAAATGAAAATCCATCATAGTATTTTCATATTCCTTAAATCGCAACTGACCGTTGATTAAGTTAATGAAGAATCCACATAAAATAATTTTGTTACTTATTTATACAATATTGAGCAACACTAACATTGGTAGATGGATGTTTATAATAAGGAATAGAAAATCAATTTCAAATTCAATATTGCAATATATAAACTGTATAATTTTCTAAATAAATTACTGAAAATTTCTCAATTTTAATGGACAAATTCTAGAAAGGTATTAGTGTCAATTGTCTGGCAAGTTTCATAAATATAATGTGTTTGGAAGCCATTATCCAAATCAGTACACTATGATAATAATAGACTGACTCATTTGTACAAAAACACTTACGAAAATATTTGGTGTTCGTGCAGTTAAGATCGGCATATTATTTTCTAGAATAAGCTGATCAGGCAGTGTAACAGTCATATTATCACTTTTATTGTCACTGCCTAATATCCTCTTATTAACATGTTCACTGCCACTTGACAAAAGTGAATCACGCGGCTCAAGCCACAGGTGTCGATGACACACAAAGTCTTAGGGCCTTGCCTGCCTGAAATGGTTTGCAAAGTGGTTTAGTTCCTTCTTGCTACCTTGGCATAGATTCAGTTTCTGCGTCCAATAAATGTGCTCATCACTTGGTATAACCTTCAACTGCGTACCAAAAATGCAAATAAATGTCATAGACTGTCAAGTGGGAACAAAAAGTCTTTCTCAACTTAATCTCTACAAGTTACAGCATACATTTTACCCAAGCAATCTTAAAATGGTCCTGGTAATTTACTACGCTGGTAATTATGAAATCATTACCTTAATATTACAACCGACAATTTTGTCAAAGTTTTACTCGTAACACCTGTCTATTTCGAAGAACAAGAAATCAGTTTCCTGTACTTGCATATCTAAGGTCTAATGATTAGAACGGGACACAAACAATACAATATACAATTGTTAACTTTTCTGACAGTGTTACACAGGACTTCGTGCTTTCAAAAGCATTTTTAATAGAATATTTTAAATGTATGTCACATTATGCTGCTTCAGAATCCTCATTAAGTACCTTTTGTACCATAGAATTCAACTTTTTTTGATAACTGAAATTGTTAGAGACTGTACAAAATTCAATAATAGTATTAAATACTCAAGTAACCTGATTAAAATTTAAACTCTTTAAAGTCAAAGCCTTCCTAAATAATATTTAAGAATTCAGTCTGTATTCCAAATAAAACAATGATTTGCCTTTACAAAGACCAATTTCTTTATGCTGTTTACGGAAATAGTCCGTGTTTATGAAGAGAATCATACAAGACACAAAGTTAGAGATTATTAAAGGAGGTGGTATGTATAGTTCCCACTGGCCTCTAAAGTGTTAACATTCATTCTTATTTCATTATCAAGAATAACATTCTTTCAGTTGAGTGTGTAGATATTTTTAGGCATTTTGTATTGTCATAATATTAAGGCCAGTATCACTTATTTCCTGTCCATTCTTCAAATTTTTAATAATAATTACACTCCGGCTGAGCAGAATGTAGACACATAAAAAAGGCGTGTGACATGAGCACATTCAATTGTCTTGTTCGAACAGCTGTTAACATGTCTCTTAACAGTTAATAAATACCATTCATTTTTGTCCTCACGAATGACAAAACGTCATGCACAGGAAATAATGTGAAATGATTATTAAACTCCACATTTAAAAGCAATTGATTATTCTAAAAATAATTAGCTCAACATTATTTTAGAACACAAAGGAAATATAGAATGGTATAACAATGCTTTCATATTAAAGATGCTAAAATATTATCATTTGAAATTTAACGTTAAGAAAGTCCCTTCAATACGTGATATTTATCTACTGATGAAATATCATGCTGGAAATTTTACTATCCACACAAGAAAATATGTACTATAATAAATTTAAGGCAAATCTAAAAAGATTTTGTTATAAAACTTTGCTGAACTAACCATTTGGTATTATTTGTTTGTAAATATATAATTGCACCAGAATAATTTTCTCACTCGAAACAGTCAAATGAGACAAGTTAGAATCAAAGTACGGCACTTCCTGGGCAGTTATATTTGCAGTCTTTAAGTACATAATCCTCACAGGCTAGTCAATGCTACATTCTGGCATGTGAAGCAGACTGATTATGGGACGAGACATTCAATGCAACTCTTTATGTTTCTTTTCCAAAATACATTATAATACGTAATAAAAGTGAGGAACAATAGAACAGAGAATATCGTAACATAAACACCTTCATTCGCTATACGTGGCTCGCTGATCTGGCAGCGTCTCCCCACGTAACCACCGAAGCCAAATGCTGTTTATCATAAAGTTTCCCATTCACGGACAAAGGCGTGTGATTCGACAGGGTTCCTCCTAGTGCAAGATTTACATTCTGATACAGGTTACTATGTGCAGTGTTATTTCTTGGTTTGTGAAGAAGGCTAATGGGAGACGAGAGCAGATCTTGTCTCTGCCGAGATGACTGGACTAGTAACGTGTAATCATTTGGATGATTCTGCAAGCAAGGTTTACCTGCTAAGTTCAGTTTAGCATTCGCTTCATTCTTTTCATACTGCAGTCCCCCAACACATCCCATTTTAGTCTGAGTAAGTGCATTATCGGGGTGCATCAGCATAATACACCGAGACACTGGAGCCACAGTATTACAATTTGTTGACGTAGATTCATTGTGATGTTGCAGAAGAAGTGGCACTTTCTTGGAAGACATGTCATCAAGGTTATGAATATGGTACTGGCTAGGTTTCCTAGATGCTGGAAGAACTAAGGCATGACCAGTTGTTGGCGGGAAGATGCTGCCTCCATGTTTACCACCATGAATAAAGCCTTGCTCGATGCTATCTCTGCGAAGCATCTTAATGGCAAGGGCAATGAGAAAGAAAAGAATTAGAGCTCCGCAGATTGGAACAGCAATAGTAGCAGCTTTAAGCCACACTTCATTGTTATAGTAGCCTGCTGGTGTCTGCGCTGCTCCGCTGGCTCCGCTGAGGTACAGTCGATCCGTTCTTGTATTGAGTATGGAACCTGCAACGATAAAAAAAACGGCAGTGAACACACAGGCGTACGCATGAAATGTACACTACTTTGCTCATGAACAGAAAGGCAGAGAAATACAATCTAAACGCATTCCAGACGTTTCATCTTTGAGCATATGATTCATGCCAGCCAAGTTTCCAAATCTGTCCACCTGAAGCACTACACTCACAGTTGTTAAAATGACATCAAGTATAGGAATTCCTAAAGCGTATTTTGAAACGAGAGGACCCCTATGATGTGATGTCCCAAAAATATTGAGCAACTCCATATTTCTACAAGGAAGTTAAATCACAAGTTGCCAGAGAAATGGATTAGCAGGGGGTGGGCCTATCACCCGGCCACCCTGTTCACCGAACCTCACTCCCCTTGGAATTTTTCTCCTGGGGGTACGCCAAATACGTTGTGTACATGCCACCATCGGCTACTACTTTACTAAAACTTACACGGAGGATAAGAGACGCAGTGATTACAGTTACCCTCGACTTCCTTACCAGCGTGCGGGCTGGAACTGTGCGCACGATATATTTGCCAGGACACTCACGCTGGGGTGAGACAGTCTTTATGAAACTGTGTCCATCCCCCAAATGTTACACAAATGAATACGGAGTAGCGGTTCAACGACAGTGTTAGCGGAAAACCTGTCTCATTACCATTTTGTCCATAAAAAAATCACACTTTAGATTACTCTGGGATAGAACCTGAGTCTCTTTTAATATATATAAGGCATTCTGTCTTTGAGAACGTGCGAACGTTTCAAGACTCAAATTCTCTCGGGACCTTTTAGCTGTGTTTTACATGTGTTAAGGTATGCCAGCCCATAATAGACCCCTAAAATTTAGTTGTTAGGTTATGAACAGAGTTGTATGGAGCAATGAAACAAAACACTGAGAATCAGTGATGCCCTAAGGGGCACTCAAAACTGGAACTACACCGTCCGCTTCGGCTACGACCATCAGCACCCGAGACTGCATCTACCGAGATTGGCACATGCAGTTTCCTATTGAAAGGAAACTGTCATATCATACTGTGTTCATTACGCAGATAAATGAGAAACTTCCTTCTTTGGATCATCACATTTACTGATACGGGTCTAACAGATAATCTGGGTTTAATGATTACGTATTTGTGAGAAAGAGTACTTGCAATGACAAACCAAAAAATACTAGGTTTTACTGTACGCACGGCTCTTCTTAAATAGCCATTCTGTTTCAAAGTCTGAACATTCAGACAGAAACGTACGAGTTTATGAAGAAAGCTTCTATTTTCTTTGCCTGATGCCTGTAATTTCAGAAGAGTGCTCTGCCCTGTAGCTGCTAAGGAAGTGTACGTAATGCTATTAAGTAGGAAGACAACGAACCTTTACATAGTGGAACAAGGAGACTCTCAAGAAGAACTTCAAATTCCGAGGAGTGGTTGCACAACTTAAAGATAGGTGATAATGATATCCACAAGCTAGAGCCCACAGAGAGCTCACTGTTAACTAGAATCATATGTAATGAGGTCTTTCTGTTAAGATAAAGACAGAGATTTTACAAAAACCAATGATTCTGTTCAGTTTACGTATTCAAGTTCAAAAAACATTATTTTACGAAAATTTTCTAAAATCTTGAGGGAAAAAAATCTAAAGTTCAAATTTTTCAATTTTTTTTTGTTTTGTGCACGTTTTGGACAATATGCAGCATTTCTTTTAATTTTCGAAAAATTTTATAAATATGAATTTTCTTTAAAAAAAATCTCACCTCTGTAGTAAATGTGAGGAACGTTCATGATATTAACAAACTGCGACTGCATCTAATAACGTTATACATAATTATTAAATCTCGGACCTGATTTTCATGAAGTTACTCTTGGACAAGCATCGTCAACCATTTAAGATAGTTTCTGAATAAAAATTTGCCTCGCCACGTTTGGGCAACAAAATTTAGTACTACATATTTTACGATGCGCTCGTGTCAAAAACAACGAAATGAAAATAGTAAGATGTTAATTAATATTTTTATCGACGTGTCATTACGTAGACCGAACCAGTCAAATAAACAAATTCTATTATTTTACCTATTAGGTCAGAATATATTCTCTGTTCACTATTAGTTTCCTCAAATACCTGGAAAACTGTCGTTGAATCTCAGCTTATTTTCCGGGCTGTCGATGTGATTGCACATGTCTTTGTGGCAGCACCACAACGTCTGGGGCGGACTGCGACTGGAACCTGGTTGAAGACACTGGTCTAGCCGAACCCTGCAATTTATACACCAAACAGTATATAGTCCACAAATTAAGAACTGCGCGCACAGCACAAGGCTACGGGATCTTCACTCTGTTATTGCCGACAGATTTTCAATTTGTGAATGCCTCTAGCATAAGTCAGCTATGGGAAGACTGACGCTGTACCAGAACCTTTGACCCAAGAGACGTCACACTTATCTGGTGTCAATGACCTTTGAATGGGCTGTCTGACTGGGATATGACGACAATATGGGGATTGACCCACTCATTGTGGGGATACCACCGTGTGATTCTGCCAAAAAACGCCGTCTCCTTCACAGGAGGTTGGCGACATATTATGAACAGGATCCTTCCATCCTTTTCTCGGACTGGGACCTGTTCATATACGTTCTTGGCAGATGATCCAGAAGTGGTTTGCCATTGCCTTCTTCTGTGTGTGAATGGAGTAACTGTTGGGATGCCACGGAGAAACCGGGGAAGCCCCGGAGGAAAACTCCGTGTTGCCTAGACCACGGCCTTGCCCAACACAAGTTATAAATTCGGTCACCGCCGGGAATCGAGCCCGGGACCCCAGGATTACAAGGCCAGCGTTCTAACCGCAGTCGTCATCATTTGGACAAAGACCAACATTGAACGTAAGGTCTAAAACATTCACGGCATCCTCTCAGGCTATCGGTCATGTCAAACGGTTAAAACTAACCAATATTTCAGAGACCATCTCTGCCCCATCATCAAGATGTCTAATGATGGGGACAGAGATGGGTCCTCAAACGTCAGCAAAGTTTTAACCATCTGACACAGCTGATAGCCTAAGAGGATTCAATTATATCAACACTGAATATTGACAGCTCGGTGTTTCTTTGTATCTGGTAAGAATTTTGCTGCATCCTACTGCCATCTAATAGAGAATATGACCTTCCAAGTCTTGTAGTATAACTGGTAGCAAATGTGCCAAATGATTTATACTGGTTTAGAACGTATTGTGCTTCGGTATACGATACGTAAATGTGCACCAATTTATAATTCTTCCTAACGGTATGAAAATGACATTAAAATGTCGCTTTCCTAACACAGTGAAGGGAATATCAATGTATGTTCTTACCCATCTAAGATTCCAAGACACCCATGTCTCGCCCTATAGACGTCTGGTAGATCCTCGAGATTAGAGAAACACCCTCCGCCTTCTGACTTGCACATGTATCCAGTGGTAACACACACTGCAAGATTACAGTAGCACCTGATTTCACCTGTAAAAAAATTGGACAGCCTCAATTAAACAACTTATATTTAAAACACACAAATTTCCAACTATAAAACTTGAACAGTCAGAATATAATCAAACGATCCAATAAATTAGACATAATATTGAATACTCATACGCAGACAGTACAGCAGAAACCTTGGTGCAACGTCACTCAGCTGTTCCCCACTGTAAAACGCGTGTATTCATCATTATTATTATTATTTAGTGTTCTATCTGACGACAGGTCCATATGAACAGGATCCTTCCATCCTTTTCTCGGACTGGGACCTGTTCATATACGTTCTTGGCAGATGATCCAGAAGTGGGTTGCCATTGCCTTCTTCTGTGTGTGAACGAAGTAATTGTTGGGATGCCACGGAGGAAAACTCCGCGTTGCCTAGACCACGGCCTTTGACGACAGGTCAGGTCCATATGAACAGGATCCTTCGATCCTTTTCTCGGACTGGGACCTGTTCATATATGTTCTTGGCAGATGATCCAGAAGTGTTTTGCCATTGCCTTCTTCTGTGTGTGAATGGGGTAATTGTTGGGATGCCACGGAGGAAAACTCCGTGTTGCCTAGACCACGGCCTTGCCCAACACAAGTTATAAATTCGGGCACCGCCGGGAATCGAACCCGAGACCCCCAGGATTACAAGGCCAGCGTTCTAACCGCTAGACCACATTAACGGTGGTCAATTTGAACAGCTGTAATAGCTAAACGTATGGCACGACAAATATCGTCTTTCTCTTAATTGTGTAACGTAGAGTTTGCTTTACTAAAATGTGTATACATTTTTTTTTGTTTTTGGACATTCTGAATTATTAACAAGGGTCCACAAGACTACAAGACGTGTTTATTTTACACCTGAGCAAATCAGGAAGGAATTTCCTGACATACTACTGTATGCAGATATGACTTTACTAATTGCAGACGGGTTTTGTATGTTATTAACGTAGAAAACAGAATCAGGAGCTGGCGAACAGCTCTCTCTGCTGGTAAGCAGATGGCTTGGTTCCCCTGTTTCACAAAATGAAGGGTCCATTGTCCTATTCTACTCCCTAATCCATCAGGAAACTGCCAAAAAGTTTGCAACGGTACATTGACCTCAGTGGGAATCATTTCTGAATAACTCTCATATTTTTCATTAAACAATTTCTCTGTGGCCTTTTAATACGACAAGGAAATGGGTATAAGGACACAGGGATATTTTCCCTGGTAGCAAATGTCGTCCCACACTAAATAGAAGCATAAAAGAAATTATTAATATAACTTGTTTACTCTAAATCAGCCAGTTACTGGTCAGAGGTGAAGACCCGTCTGATGACTAGGGAAATGCTGACTAGTCAGGCTTATCACAAATCTCAGAAGTAGAAATCAATCAGAATGAAGCGCTGATGAAAAATTAAGATAAGAAAATTGAAATTAATTTTCTTGACGGACTCCCAAAGCTTTCTAAACCATCCATATACAATGTGATATAGCCACGGTGGTCTAGCGGTTAGAACGCTGGCCTTGTCACCCTGGGGTCCCGGGCTCGATTCCCGGCGGTGCCCGAATTTATAACTTGTGTTGGGCAAGGCCGTGGTCTAGGCAACACGGAGTTTTCCTCCGGGGGCTTCCCCGGTTTCTCCGTGGCATCCCAACAATTACTCCATTCACACACAGAAGAAGGCAATGGCAAACCACTTCTGGATCATCTGCCAAGAACGTATATGAACAGGTCCCAGTCCGAGAAAAGGATGGAAGGATCCTGTTCATATGGACCTGTCGTCAGACAGAACACTAAATAATAATAATAATAAATACAATGTGAGTAGGATTCTTCTTTGTGACCGTATGTGTGCTACTACGCATGACTGTTCCATTTTACAAGTGCTTCTACCATTAAACAGCTTTTGGAAACACTTCTAAGGATCCACAAATTAAAGAAATTATTCGGCACTGAATTTTAACTGGACTTTTCCATCGCTATGACGTGCACATGAAAGAGAAAATCTAAAATGCTACGACTTCCTGGACAGCGCCCAACCAATTTTCTAATACAGTACAATTAGAAATATTATCCCAGGATCTGCCAACTGGGACCGAGTAAAACCATTAAAAGCTCAGTGCCCGGGCCGAGATTTGAACTACAGTCTCCCAAACACTATTCAGAAGTTCCAACCATTCGGGAGCGACACTCAGTGTGCAAATCTTAAAATAAAATATATCAGTATATAATTACCATCACATGAAGACGAGTGAAGGGCCAACTCCCGAAACGTCGTGTTTATTAATCATACCGACCAAGAGTGGAGTGTTCGCGTTAACCGTGTTAGCCCGGCTAACACTTTGAAAAATAATTTCTCGCTATTTTAATTACTGTCTTGTGATTTATTTCATACAATTACGATGTAATAAATCAACAAATCGCAAACCTTTTTGTGAATGACTTTCCCGCTCAAATATCTTCTTTAGCATAAATAAACACGCTACTACAGAACTTTGTAGCGTTGTTTATTAATTATGACTCCCCAGACGGGACATACATCTGACCTGCAGCTTATGTTGTTAATTCCTTTCAATTTCTGTCAGGCCTCCAAGGGTGACCTTGAGAAATAAAAAAAATATGAAACATCAGTCGTATGCCACTGACTTACCCGCTGCTCCTTTCATTTGAGACTAGAGTCTTGTGCTCACCTGATTTACGACATTTTGATACAGTCTACGGGTAAGAGGATCATCTGGAATTACGAGCTTCTCTAAACCCCAAGGAAGGAAAAGCCTTTTAGTGAACACAAAAGAGTGAGTTGATGATAATTAGCATTTAGAATGGTGTTAACACTGCCTGAATAAGACTTCTAGGATGAAAGGAATTTCTTAACCGTTTCTTTTAAGAATCCTCCCTCAAAATCCTGTGATACCACGTGCCACTACGTTCAAACGACTTGAAAGCGGTGTGTTTAGTGCAGAAGTGTACCGACGCAGAACATTTTATTTCTGTTGAATGTTCATTCTTAATTGAAGAAAGACGTTTAAAGCTGTGGTATTGAACCTGGGGTACGCGAAGACATCCTAGGGGGAACGTGAAATTTAAAAAAATACATTATTTTATGATAAACGCTGAATAATCAGTAATGTAATTTATTTAATATATTTTAGATGTAGATTATATAATATGTATAACTTGAATTATACACCAACAACTTTGGGGGTACAAAGTTGAAGAGAAATTATATCTGGGGGTACGCGAAGACATCCTAGGGGGAACGTGAAATTTAAAAAAATACATTATTTTATGATAAACGCTGAATAATCAGTAATGTAATTTATTTAATATATTTTAGATGTAGATTATATAATATGTATAACTTGAATTATACACCAACAACTTTGGGGGTACAAAGTTGAAGAGAAATTATATCTGGGGGTACGCGAAGACATCCTAGGGGGAACGTGAAATTTAAAAAAATACATTATTTTATGATAAACGCTGAATAATCAGTAATGTAATTTATTTAATATATTTTAGATGTAGATTATATAATATGTATAACTTGAATTATACACCAACAACTTTGGGGGTACAAAGTTGAAGAGAAATTATATCTGGGGGTACGCGAAGACATCCTAGGGGGAACGTGAAATTTAAAAAAATACATTATTTTATGATAAACGCTGAATAATCAGTAATGTAATTTATTTAATATATTTTAGATGTAGATTATATAATATGTATAACTTGAATTATACACCAACAACTTTGGGGGTACAAAGTTGAAGAGAAATTATATCTGGGGGTACGCGAAGACATCCTAGGGGGAACGTGAAATTTAAAAAAATACATTATTTTATGATAAACGCTGAATAATCAGTAATGTAATTTATTTAATATATTTTAGATGTAGATTATATAATATGTATAACTTGAATTATACACCAACAACTTTGGGGGTACAAAGTTGAAGAGAAATTATATCTGGGGGTACGCGAAGACATCCTAGGGGGAACGTGAAATTTAAAAAAATACATTATTTTATGATAAACGCTGAATAATCAGTAATGTAATTTATTTAATATATTTTAGATGTAGATTATATAATATGTATAACTTGAATTATACACCAACAACTTTGGGGGTACAAAGTTGAAGAGAAATTATATCTGGGGGTACGCGAACAAAAAAAGGTTGTATACCACTGGTTTAAAGTACTGAGTTTATTGATAGTAAAAAAATTAAATCCCACGTTTATAAATGTTTCATTCGTTGTTTATTTAACCACACTGCCATAACTCGCACTATATATTGCCGAATTATAAGATTATAATGAAATAGAACAGAAATATATACATATCGGTTATGTCTTAGGAAACGACATATTTAGTCCGAATTACAGATCCAGTCCTTATCTACGGTGTTACAAAGAGAGAGTTACAACATTGAACATGGACAATTTTGATTACCACAGTTAAATTGGTTACGTGAGGAATCCTCATCTACGAAGGCAACTCTAACGACAGTGATGCCATTAGCAAAAATGAAAGGTCAAATTCTGATGGTCTCTTGCAAATTTGACTTAACCTCTCCCGTAAAATCACAGCCAGGTCGTAAATTTCACAGACGTAACTGTAATATAATCGCAAATTCATGAACGGCGTTTTGTAAAAATATAAATGCAAGAATGCTAGAGTCCAATTAGGGTATTGGCCTTTCTGGTTGGTAATCTTCCACCAGACTACACGGTGTATCAAATCAGATAAAAGCCATCTTCATTTACACACTTTTATATGAAGTACGAAAATAAAAATAAAGTTTGAGACCAGTAGCGGCTTATGAAATCGATATATGAAGTCGAAGAGATGACTTGTCCCTTCTCGTTCCATTAACAGCAGACTACCGCGGTAGTTCCTTCACTGTATGCAACCTCATACAGTCAATGGAAGCTCCTAGGTAGCGAAACCCAAACTGTCATTGTAGGGTCCCTGCAGGGGACCGCGTGGAAAGAGGATTTGGTTCATCT